TTAGCATGGAACTAGATGATGCTGTGTGTTAAATGTCCCAACATATTTATCATTAATGTTATAAGAAAAGTAAAGGCGAAATTGTGTTTGTTGGTTTGGCTTTTTTTAAGCAGGATATATTAAAAATATATTTGCTATGTATTTATTAATAATATTGAATTATTTTAGGACGTTAGTATTAAACAGTATTACTAAAGAGTAACTTTATTCAAAATATTACGCGTTATTTTACAGTTACACATGTACAGACATCAGTATTGTCTAACAACTAGGACATGTCGACCATATTTCATATGACATAATATTAAGAACCCCAAATCCGTTTACTTGGGTCTTCTACAAATAGATATCCCTTGCCAGAACAAATTTGGCTACAACTTTTACAACTATCGAATCTAATATTTATAATACGTCAAAATATATGAAGCTCGGTGATATTGCGAAAAAAATTAATCTTTTCTTCTTACAACATCTCGTGAATAATGTTACTTTACACAATGTCTGTGAACGAAAATGTTGATAGTCGATATAATGATAAGGGTTTCCTTATATGGAAACTTCGCAAAAAAAATAGTATATTCTCTTTTCGTGCTCTAGCAATATTTCCAATTTTATAATGACCATGGTAAACCAAACATGGTATAAAAAAGTTATATTAAAACCCATCTCATAGATTTCAGGACAGTGTTAGTGGTAACGCACTAGCTTGGAAAACCGGGTTACGTGGTTTCAAATCTCGAGTTTCGCACCTCTGATATATCTAATCGTTTCAACATGATTACCTCTTGTCTTACGGTGAAGGAAAACATCGTGAGGAAACCTGCATGTCTGAGAGAACCAAGCGATTTTTCGAAAGCCTTGTGGAATTCGCCAACCAACAATAGACCAGCGTGGCATATAGTCTGGTCTTCCTAGAATAGAAGGAAGGCCCATGCCCAGCCGTGGTACGTTAAAAAGGGCTGAATACATAACGGATTTCAAAAGGAATTCATTTTCTAATCTATTCCAAGCAACTTCTAACAAATCAAATATATCATTATCAACATGCATAAAGATTCTTACTATCTTATATTACACACATGTTAATTTAGAAATATTTCAAATAATAATTATTATTCTTTACTAAAGCAAAAGTAATACTACACGGCCTTTTAACTTCAGAGTTCAGGACAATATCCGCCGTTCATTCTGAGCATTATATTAAGGGGGAAGATACATGTTTATGCGTGAAAGCCATCTGCGATGCGGCCGACATAAATCTCAGTCGAGACGTAGCGGATAAATCTTCGGGATTATCAGAAGGGATTTTCGGTTTAGAAATGACTCATCTTTATCAATTCGTAACTATTTTTTGAAGTTTTCTAGGTGTAATAATCTATACATATAATAAAATAGTAACTAAGTCGAATCTGTATATTAAATATTTTTTGAAAATCTTATTGAAATAGGCATTATTATCGATACAGAGGCCGAAACTATAGTTTTTAGAATTTTTGTCTGTCTGTCTGTCTGTCTGTTACCGCATCACGGAAAAACCACTGGAGGGGTTTTTAATGAAATGTGGTATGGTGATACCTGGTTATCCAGGTCAACATATAGGATACTTTTTACCGCGGGAAAATATCTCATTTCTGATAAAAAATACAAAAACTGCAATGTAAGAGTATACTAATATGTAAAACCTAAGAATTTGGTTTTTGGTCATCTGAACGCGGGCGGATCACAATTATCATATTCGTTTCTAAACTTATAAAACATCTTACAAAATTAAATTAGCAATATATACATGCATATACATATAAGATTAAAATAAAATTTTGTATTTAGATAAGGTTATGTTTTTAAAGTTTATCTATATATTATATACATATCTTTTCTGAAAATTCTCTGAGTGGAGTTCGGTCGCCCAGGTGCTATTAAATAACTAATATATTTTATACTAATATAGTAAAGCTACAAAAGTTCTTTTAGCTTACTTTTTAGAAGCAGAGTAATTAATATATTATAAGCGACTCACTCTCGCACCGCTCGGGTTCGTTCTAGGTTAGTATGGATTTCTCAGAGATGAGATATCTTCCCGCAGTAAAAAGTAAAGTATATGTTGATTCGGATAACCAGCTTTTATTTCATTCAATTCACTTCATCACTTCAATTGTTGGAACCAGAAACAATTTATTATTTGTTACTAGCGACTCACCCTCGTTCTACTCGGGTTGGTCTTTAGTTTAGTTTTAAGGTTTAGTATACAGTTCTTAGAGATGAGATATTTTCCCGCAGTAAAAAGTATAATATATATGTTGACCCGGAGAACCAGCTACCATCATACCAAATTTCATCAAAATCTGTCCAGTAGCTTTCTAGTCATGCGTTCCCAGACAGACAGACGTAAATTTTAAAAAGTATAGATTCGGCTTCTGTATCAATAATAATAACTATTTCAATAAGATTTTTCGAAAAATATTTAATGTTCAGATTTGACTCAGAATGTTATCCACAAAAAGAGATAGTAGTCCATAACTAGCACCTTATGTATATATGTATATACGTTTTTATATAATACTATATTATAGTGGTACATTGTCGTTTCACGCGACCCTTTTTTCAGTCACGTTTTGAATAGTAATCTCTTAGAAATGATTGATGGGTAGATATTCTGGAAGAAAAAGTGCTCTATAACAGTCCGGCTGTGAAGGACCAAAACAGCAAATATATTATTTTCCTTATAAAGTTAGTATGAATACAATATGGCTTTAAAACGTAGTTATTAAAAATTATTTCTATACTGTTTACTCTCGTAATATAACGAGTACACACGGTCTGAACAATTCATTCTTCGTATTTGAAAAGTTATTGCGTGTTTGTAACGTACACTAATCTTGCCATAGGTTTTGTTTTAGCCTCACACAAAATTAAATAAATATGTTGGGACATTAACACACAGCACCATCTAGTTCCATGGTAAGCTACGAGGCTTGTGATATGGATACCAGATAGTTTACAGTACACATATAGTATAATGACTGGAGTACAAACATTCGAGATCATCACACAAATGAATGCCCCCAAGCAGGACTCAAGCCCGCGACCGTTGGCGCAGCAAATAGAGTCACTACAAACTGAGCCAAACGCGTCGTCATTTTTTACAATTGTTTTAACCTGGATCAAACCTACGACTACATCAGTAGTACGTGAAACACAATATCATATTTTTTTCTTCAATTCTCGCATAATATTCGCTTATCAATTCAAAAATAAAAAACATCGATAACAACATTTTTATTAATATAATTACATTGAAGTATAAATCGGTAAACGAAAGCGTCAAGAACGAAAAACTTACTTTCTGTGAAAAATGCCTGGCATGCAATATGCAGTTAAAAAGGCAACTATTTTTTTTATATAGGTATACTATATTTATAAACAATTTAGGCCAACAAAAACTTAGCATGAAATAAGAATATAATACTAATACTATTATAATATTATGTTATAAATATTAAGTGAACATCCCAAAATGTACCAAAGTACTTGACCGTCCATTTTTTTCGGGCTTTAGCATTGGGGCTTAGCCAAATGAACGGTTTATGATCGCTATTGCGTATAAAAAAAAACAAAAAAATATATATTGAAATGACAAAATTATTATGAAACTTAAGTTACGTCACTAAAAATATTATATTTTGAACATATCTTTTATTGTACTATCTACATGATCTTCTATATAACAATGCTAATTATAGGCTTGCAACACAAAAAAATGATGCTTACGTAATAAAATAACTTTCTGTACTGCAAAACTTATTATGTATAAACCTCTCCCATGTTCTGACTTCAAAGTGATAACCACACGTCATAAGTAGTAAGCATCGATCAAAAAACCACTAGAGGCACAATCAGTGACAAAAAATGTCCTCACCGAATGAGCGCTCATTCGAGCGCGTTTTTTATTTTTTTTTGTGAAAACAACTTTAAGCATTGTAGTTAAGGTTCAATTTAAATTGTCGTATATTTATTTCAACTAGAATAATTACCTAAACACAATGGGTGACAGTTCTAAGAGAACTTTTGCATGGGATTTATATCTAGGACTTTTTTGATCGATGGTAGCATGTAATAAACAAAATCAGACTGAACAAACTATCCAAATTTCAAATCAGTTTTTCATTACCAAATTTTCTGGTCACCTTATTTATTTTTCTAACCTAAAAATTTTTAAACTATGGCTTACATATACATATAAGAAAAAAAATCGCTCAGTCGGTCCAGCCGATCACAACATGCACTTACTAACGAACAGCGTTTTATTTTTATATAAATAGTCATTATTATCTTTTCCGAACGTCGGATATTTCAAACATTCATCAAAATTTCGTCATCTCATAAGTCTCTATTGGATTACTTAAATCATTTTGTACTGAAAAACTATTTAATATGTAGAAAAGCTTAAAAAACGGATTGAATTCAATCCAAATCCAAAAAGCCAAACATTATCAATTTATTACTACAACAAAATAAACACTGCTTCAATATTTTAGTCAAATCCTACTATAACACAACAAACTTATACAACAAACGTATATAATATAAAACTTAAAATATAACATATAATTAATATAATAAGATAATATTTAAGACTGTGGGCAAACTCTTCTTATTGAGCCCTCATCGTCTTCTTCATATTATTATATCCAATTATGTACAAAAGTAGATAAACAACTAAAACTAAATAAACAATTTGAAGACATGATGGAATTGGCCTTATTCCAAAGACACATTTTTTTATATTCACATAAAATCATGGGTAAAGTTCATACAACTGCTTTAATTAACTATTGAAACTTTATCCTATTTGGACCACCACTCTTCATTTCCGTATTTACTCTAATAAAATCATCTTCAAAATAATTAAGTACTGGTTCTATAATGAATTATACTTTTATAGCTATACTATTAGTTATGTAAATAATATAACAAATGATCCTGCAAATATACACATTTTAATCTATCATAATCGTACCGTCCAAGTCTTCTGAAAGAATGTCTTTATGACAACTATCTTTACCACTTACTTCACTTAACATTTTACCTTTACCGTTATTCTCACTTTTTGATAAATCCGAACGTTTCTTGTATTCACTGATGGTAATTTTTTTAGCAACCTTTTCTTTATTATCGTTCATTTTTCTTTTCTTTGTTGGATTAGGTTTAGACGTTTGATCAAAATTAATATCCTGATTCCTTTTAAGTTTTTGAAAATAGTAATGTTGTATTTTAGATAGAACTTCGAAAGTCTTTTGATAAGTCGGTATAGGTAAGATCGGTGGGGAATACCCTTTATTGGCACTATTGGATTGTCTTGAAGAGTCGCATGCTTGTTTATTATTAAGTGTTCTTTGCTGTTGATTTTGGATATTTGACATGTGAGTATTCATTTCTATCGGACGTTTTAATGCTTGAATTAAATGAGTATACCTTTTTGAAATATTTTTATTTTTACCATCTACTGAGATCTCTTGGGGGCTTACTGATTTTGCATTTACATTGGGCACATAAATTAAATTACTAATATTCTGACCTCTATTTTTTTGTGCTGTACTTATTGTTTCTACAGCATTATTTGTTATTGGCAATGTTTTAAAGTTTTCAGATACTAATTCCTCAGTACTGTTATATGGTATTTCTGGTTGAAGGTTTATATTTTCATTTTGTGTTGTTAACTGAGGAATCATATTAGGATGCAATAGTTTTAAAGTATGAGTATTTGCAGCGGGTGTTTGTAATTTTGTACCGCTATTGCTATTCGGTAAAGGCAAATTATTAGAAATGTGCTCGACAGAAGATTTAATACCACTTTGAGGTATTGAATAATAGTGATTTGGCGGACCACTAGATATAATAGGCTGTATTGGATAATATTGAAAATTGCTATTCATTTGATTTACAACTTGAGGTTTTTGGTTCAGTAGTGTCGGAATTTTTTTGTGTATAAATTTTTTATTATGTTCTTTTAAATTGTTCATAATTGACTGTTTTTCGTTGATATCTTTCAGTGTTAATATCTCGTTATCTTTAACGTTTGCGTGACAATTTATATCTTGTCTTGTTACAGCATGACTTAAACAACATGGAAATGGACATATATTTGTGGTTGAACTGTTCAATAACGGAATATTTCTATTTATTACACTGACGTTGTTACTTAAATTAGTACGACTTATTTTACATTTGTTAGGACTAGATATGTTAGTACTAGGTATGTTAGTATTAGGTATGTTAGGATTTAGTTTCTTGTTGGTAAAATTACTAATTCTACAAGTAGCATATTTTTTCTTTTTGTTGTTACTTAATTCTTTCATATGTGTAGAATTTACATCATTATATAAGGTCTCTTCATGATAGTGAGGTATTACTCGTTCATCACTAAATATTTTCTTCGTACAAATTGTATATGAATTTTTATGCTGTTGTCTCGATGAGAGTGAAATATTTGAAGTTACTTGCACTGTTTTATTGTTTGATTTTAATGGGCAGGGTAAAATCGGTGAACACAAGCCATTCCCGTTTTTATTTTCTTTAATATTTTTGATTGCTATCATAGATTCTGGCAGCAATTCAGTAATCTGATTATTGTTTTTTGTTATATGCGCTTCGTTATTTACAATACTTGATTGAATATTTTGATTTTCTACAAACGAAGTCGTACTTGCAGATCTAGATGTCTCTAGCTCCATTACAAGTGCATTATTTACCTTTTCTTCTATCGAAATATTTTCCTTAGAAAGTTTATAACTGTTATCTTGTGTATCTGTATTTTCATGATCTGACTGATTCATAACATTAGTAGATGATTTCACACATTTTTGTATTTTTTGATATGCTTTGTCAATAATCCTTGCGTATGTATCAAGACTATGAACAGATTCACTTTGTGTAAATTCACTATATAGTTCTCTCTTTGATACTTCATCAGAAACAATAACTTTTTCCCCATGTTCTGAATTATTTTGTATTATGGTATATTTTGTAGGATATTCTGAGTGCCTAATAAATTTTTCGTCGATTTTTTCCATATTTTCAATTGATGTCTTTTTTGGTATATTTTCATTAATAAATATTACCTCTTCGCTACTTAGTTCCTCGATGTTTTCATTTAGATCATTGTCGTATCGCTTTAATTCTTCATTCGCTTTATAAAAATTTGGATATTTTTCACAATCAATAAGTCTTATAGAAAGAGGACGACATTCACTTAGAAGTTTAACATTTCTCTCAATATTTAAAAATGTTACCGGTAACATAGAAGGCTCTTTTCTATATGAAGATATTTCCTTATATTCTCTTGTTTCGTCATTACTAATATCTATAATAAAACCAGGATCCTCAAAAATATAATCTGCAAGTAAACATTAATTATTTGTTTTAAGACCTCGAAGTAATAATCCTAAATAAAATGGTACATGTCGGTATATTTACAAGTATATTATTCAAATAAAACTCTATCTTTTGTTCTATCTTCAGCTTTTCATTTGCTTCAAAATAATAAATTTATTTAATACGTGCACATAATCTGCCTATCTGCCACTATATACCTATTTACTTTTATATTAGTAAGCTTATTATAAATAGTAATGTAAACTTATTATGATGTGATGAAGGCTTGAGTAACAGTACTTTAAAAAGAAAAAGTTCAATTTTTATTTATAGAACCTAATAGATATGTTGAATTACAATTTTTTTACAGATATTGAAAAAATATTATATGAAATGGATCATGAAGCACAAAAAGTTCAATTGGCTATCTAATATTGCTACAATTGGCAATTGGCTACGATCCTTAGGAATTGAACAATTATACATAAATAAACTGCGCGTAGCCGCGGACAAAAGCTTGTGTTTATAATAATTATATTTTGACAAAGAAAATTTTACATTATTAATCAAAAGCTTAATATTAAAACTGAATAATAATAACTCACTTGAGAATTGTGAAAAACACACTCTACTTTGTTCGAAATCAAACAGCCGTATTGGATCGTCAAGGTAATCCTCACCGATAATATCTTCATTCATATTGCAAGCTGAAAGTAATAATATTTGTTCAATACATTTAGAAGCTATCTCTAAGCTAGCTCTTGAATTTCAATGGCTGTCAAATTAATTTATTAATATAACATAGCATTGCTTTCGCGCCGTCTGTGTATATATTCCTATTTAATCCATAATAACGCAAGCCGATTCTGACCGGCTTACCTTTCTCTAATTATTTTATTAATGGCAGAATGACTGGGATTCCAAGTATAAAATTCTGTATTAAAAATAAAACCACTAATAAATTAATAGTAAAAATTATAAATAGGTATATTCTTGTTTACCTACACACGTAAATCTCCCGACAAGCTTTTATATCGTATAAATTGTGTATTAATGTAAAAAAATTGTTGGGTTTGATTTAATTTAAAGTTTATTTTTTTCTTTTTTATATAGCATTTAAATAAAAGCTTGTCCTAAAAATGTTTTTTTTATTTATATTATTTTATTAATTTATTTTTTAGTTTTTATTTTATTCTCATTCTTCTCAGCAAACCCTTTCATTTAATATCCATGTCATGGGGATACATAAAAAAACATAGTCAGCTATCTTTGGGAGTCCGCCATATTTGATTTAGAATAACGTCACTTTACTCATCGTATTTCGCTTATCAAGCCCTTTCATTTGATACCCATATTATAGAGGTTCATGTGTAACTTATAAATCGCCATTTTGCGGCGGCCGCCATATTGGATTCAAAATGGCGGCATTTAGGTAATCGTGCATTGTATCAGAAACCACACTAGTATGCCATATTTCAGCTCAATCGGAAACTAGGAAGTGGGTCAAAAACTTGCAAGAATCCATTACCCAGACCGAGAAAGGTAAAACTAAATAAAAGCTTGTAAATGAATACATATATGGAGGCACAGATTTCGAACAAATCATAAAAAAAATATTAACACTGATGAAGTAAAAACGTTCGCCTAAAAATTGATTGATAACTCCAAAAATATCTCCAGCTTTATTATAGACGACAGATACGTATGATTCGAATAATTTAAATAGGAATTTACATATACATAATAAACCGAAATTATGAAACTAGTTGGATAAAGATTTATATCATGATACGAATGTCATCATCTTTTGATTCTAGCAGTGTTTTGATCGACAATTTAAACAAAAAGCGGTTATTGTGACTTACCTAACTTATTGTTAGACATATTATAGCCTTGCGGATTTTTTGTGGGTGATAATGAGATTTTTCAAAAAATATTTAATATACAGATTCGACTCAGTTAAAATTAAAATTTTATTATATATGTTTTTGTAATACGCCACTTATTCAAAATTATGCCTTTACACTATTTGCTATTGAACCCTTTGGCCCTTGGAGCCAAAGTGCGAACACTTTTTAAAAGGCCTAACACCTCGTCTTATCACATCTACAAGTACGGGTGACAACAGATAGTATCGCTGTTGAGACTGCGTTCCGGGCACATTCTTTCAAATAAGTTTAAGTTTTTGATGGGTATACCGTATATCTAATACAGAAAAATGCTCACAAAATAACTGTATCGATGATATATATCATCTACTAATGCAATGTGTGCGAAACGAAGAATTAAGGCCACTTATGTTAATATTATATGTAACAGCATACTGACCACACCATGACTGTCAAGCAATGCGATTATGTTAGCCAAGTTACTCCATTAATGACATTGGAACAAATTTTTATTAAGTTTAGATTTTTATTAATTTAGATGTTGTACGGGGGTGACATAGTCAATGCCATGACTCAAAATCCCATGTTAAACAAAAAAAAATAAAAAAAAAGTACGGGTGACAAGAGAACTGGCTCGATTTTCGCCCAAAGCGAGGGAAAGCGGCTGGAATTCTTGCGACAATTTCACGCCGACATGACATGTACAGTAATAATTAAGTGTACATTTTCATACATATAATTATTTATGTAATTTCAAAGTGTTATGTTTATTGTTAAAAAATGTAACCTCACTTGAGCAACATTGATTTAAAACATCTATTCTGTCGAACAGACGCTTAAAATCAATCTTGGTTTTTGTTTTCATTAAAGTTTGAACTTTATATTTAAGACCAAATAATAATATTATTATTATTAAATTGAAACTTTTTTAATGAATTAATTAAGAATTATTTAAACTATTATATAAATATTTCAAGAAATAAATTTAATAACAATAGATACCTATTTATAAAAAAATACTGCTTTCATTTATTTTTAAATGATATGATTCCATATCATATCAAATGAATATTGTTAAAAAATATTTTTTATTTCTATTTGTTTTTATTTACTTGATTTTTTTAAAATTTTAATTAAAAATATAATTTTATTCAGAAAAAAAATTGCATCCCTGTATTATTATATATTTTATTGGAGAATATAATTTATTGAATTTCATTAAAAATTATCGATAACCTACAGAATTTCCACTTCTTGCGCGTGTACACATATTTTTTTATCTATAGCTATTGTTTATAAACACAAAGAATATAATAATAATAAACCTCTTTATAACTAATAAATTCTTCCCGATTAAATGAGAGTGGTTATTTGACTGTATGCAGTCGCATCCAGCGCTCAAGTACGTCCCAGCGGTCCGATTGTACACTTAAGATGCCTTTGGTTCTGTCACACATGTATTGCATCATGGACATCGCTTACGCATGATCGTACTAAAGCAGTATAAGCTTCAGCGAACATGCCTAATATACTATAAAATCGTGGCAGTCTCATGAACATTCTAAATGCATTGTTGTATTGGACACGATTTCTAACATGATTACCACTTGCCTTACGGTGAAGGAAAAGCATCATGAGGAAACCTGCATGTCTGAGAGAAACTAGCAAGTTTTCGACAGACATGTGAAATCCGCCAACCCGCACTCGGCCAGCGTGGTGGACTATGGCCTGATCCCCCTCGTATTGAAGGGAGGCCTGAGCCCAGCAGTGGGACGTTAAAAAGGGCTGAATACATACATACTCGTACATACATAGGACACGCAGATCGTTTATTTCCTTTGCGTATAGCTAGATTTAGTCCCCAGGCTGCACGTATACAAACTTTGCAAAGCCTTAAACCTTCCTTTAATCTAATTTAGTAAATAGATTTTATGATATTATATTAAAACAAAAGTTTTAAATAAAACTATACCAAAATGTCAAATATTCGCGTAAATCTAAGAAAGTATTATGTTTTACAAAATATGTATATAACAGTACATACCTTTATTCAACACATCCAAATCTGTATAATATTATGATTATTTACAATCACTCTCCTAGCAATGTTTTGGTTTTTAAACTTTTTTTTAATAATCTACTACGATCTTTTATTTCAAGTAATATTACAGTGCACTGCTCACATTAAACTTGTTATTTCGAATGTTATTATTTGACACCGTCACTGCACTCGTTTTAAAAAGATCAGCAATTTTATATAAAAACTGATTAGTGATATTTTTTGATGACACGTTTTTATTTCTAACGCCTTTTAACATAAGTGCAATAAAGTAAGTTTATTAAGAAATAAGTACGTATATGAATGTATTTTTGAAGGTATAAATAACTTTATTATTTTTCAGTTACCTACTTTGAAAGTTTTTTTTTATTTAGTTATTTTTTTTATTTAATCTATGCTCTTAAATATATAAAAAATATGGTGAAGACATCACGTATTTGCCTATGGTATTAATATTATAAATGTGAAGGTTTGTGAGTATGTATAGATGTTTGTTAGTTACTCTTTCACGCCAGAACGGCTGAACTGATCTGGATGAAATTTGGCACAGAGATAGTTTATAGTCTGGAATAACACATATGCTATTTATCCCGGAAAAATATACGGTTACCGAGGGATAGATTTGTTTTTTTTTCTATAGGCGAACCCGAGTGAAGCGTGGGTGAGCCGCCAGTGTTATTATATTTTGATGTTTTAAGACAATTTAAATGCATTATTCTAACCTTTTTTAATACCAATTTACTACATAACTACATACCAGTATATATAGTAACTATAAATTGACTACGCTTAAAACTGTGTATGGACAATATAAATAGATTTGGTAAAGTGGCAGTTTTGTGGTTTAAGCATACATATCGCAATATATTTGTAGCAGACAGGTCATATTTAAATATTATCAGCACAAAATATTGCTGTCATTTTCGTTATTTAAAATGGGATTTATTTAAGTACGTATCTATTATAAGGTCATAATTTGCTATTGGTAATTAATCAACAGACCATCAGCTGACATTTACGCCACTCAGTTGAAATTTTGGGTTTGGTATCTGGTACATACGGTTTAGTGAAATTGAATGTTGGTGTATATTATTATTTTTAATGGATAAAACACACACACGCACGCACACGCACACAAGTACTTTTTCCTAATCCTGACTTTGTAATAGTAACCAAAATTACCCAAATCCATTCAGAACGGAAATAGAACTATATACGGTATGCCAGTTCGACATGTACTGTTTAATCCCTCTACGACCGCGGACACCCCGAGGTATCAGTTAACAATAGATTTCTTAGAATTTTAATTAATTTCTTAGAAATTTACCTGGAGGGGAGATTTTCATATTCGCACAGACAATATAAAATTTTAGGTTTGGAATTTGGATTTAACCTGCATTATTATATAAAATATTCATTTCTTTTCGAAACTACACATAATAGCATAACATAGGCCACGATAACATATTACGAGTGTGTATGTCTTAAAAAAATACAAAACTAAATACAATTGGCACAATTTTTCCGCTCTTAAGCGCATAAACAAAATGAATTAAGCTAATACGTATAACTTGCATAAAACGTAACTTTGCGTTGGGAAAAAAAGATATGTCAGAAGCAGATCTACGAGTATTTCACTTAAAAGAGCCTTCGTCACGAATCCAGCTGGGACGTTTAAAAAGTAGGTTTTTCATTTCTTTCATGTCAGTTACCGCCAGTATCCTATCGTAATTACGATCTGACGTTGAAAG